ATTTATTACATTATATATTTATTAATGTTAATTATTATAGTATAATATTAGGTGTAGTAAAAAGAAATACATTATTTTTCCAATAGATAGCTTTAGTAATCTGTATCTCGTCTACGCGTGATACAGATTACTAAAGCCATCTATCAATTATATACTTTTATATAATAGTATGCTCTAATGCGACGTGAACACATCTAGTCACCATATTGGTTCCGGTGACACGAACGTATTGGAGCGTGTTGGGCATGTTAGAGCGTGCGACGCGAACAAACCTTAAGTTTCCATCGAGGGTTAGAGGCTCAGCACAATAAAAGAAAACAGAGAACAGAGAATAAGAATTTCAACCTATCAGAAATCATGTATTGTGGAATATACAGTTTCTGATAGGTTGAAATTCTTATTCTCTGTTCTCTGTTCCTTTTATTGTGTGGACCCCTTAGAATTGGGTCAAAGTGTGGGAATTGATTAGTCACAGTCGAGAATTTTCCTCTTACAGTCGAATGAGAGGGGAATGCTCAATTGTGATTGGTCAGTTCTTGCACTCTGACCCAACTCTAACCCTCGGTAGAAACTTAGTTATTAGCGACGAGGGCGCACGCCTTAGAACATACATAGAGATTCTATAATTAGAGTTTGGCGAAAGCGGGCACAACTTTTGATTTGTTCTCCACTTTGGAGAACAAACTCGGTATTTTTGGGATAGTTTCGTATGTACATTGTCGGAAAACAAGTGCGAAGAAAAGAAAGAAATAGATAGCTATATAAGATGAGTAAAACCTGTGTCAAAGAAGTTAGAAATCATTTTGAGATCTCGGACAAAGAGAAAATTAATAAATTACAATTGTTCAATTCGGTCAATTGATTACCTCGATTAGTTTCTTCAGGTATTGTTGTCGTAGTGTTTGTATTCTAAGACTTTTTGCGCATGTATTCATACGAGAAAGCAATATCTGTTCTCTCTTTCCATCTGTCATTTTTGATTCATATTCGCCAAACTCTGATTATAGGATCTCTAAACATTCATACTGGAAGGGCCATACCGTATCTAATCAATGTAATAAAAATGTCTCCAACATCTTATCTGAAAGCTTATATTTGTTGTGCGCTTGCGCGTAATTTATATGTGAGTTTTGAACGTACATATTCTAAAGTAAGAATACAACACTCTTTAACATTACATAATAATAATCGATGCATACGCATTACGGTGAAACATTCAGATAAGAACAGATAGATGTTGAAGCCATGATGTAAGAATATAAAGTGTATCATTGCGCATAATAGCGTTAGCAATACTGGAAACAATCGATCTAATTAATTGATCTCTATGCACTTATACATTTTCTGCGTATAATAGCGCAGGCATATTGGAATAGCCAATCAAATTTTGGCCTCAAATTCACTCTCCTACTGCACATCCTCAGGAATAGTATACCTTGTCTTCTTACATCATGATTGAGTCAGTAAGTAGACTTCCATCATGAGTTGAAGTATGATGGAAGGAATAACATGGTATGTTCAGTTTACAAGCATCTTTCTTTAAATCTTCACCATCTCTGTCTATGAATATCGCGTGAGGGGAAAAGATTGCCAACTGTGAAACGCTAAACATGGGGCAATATTCATAGTCCGTTTTTATTTTAAAACTGTTTTAAATAATGTCTTAAGATGTTAATACAGTCCTCGAATTAACTTACGACAGCTTAAGATTATACTTAGACAGTCTTAAATGCAAGAATCGATGAGTACCTGTTTCGCGTCGTAAAATTAGTATTGAATTTTTTCTTATTTAACACACTTTATGTTTCTCTTTCTGTAGAAAGAGAAAATACTTTATATTTATCTTTCAACAGACAGGTACTCATAGTCGATTCTTGCATTTAAGACTGTTTTAAATACAATCTTAAGATCATAAGTTAATCCGAGGACTGTATTAGCATCTTAAGACATTATTTAAGAGTTTTAAAATAAAAACGGACTATGAATATACCTCATGTTTAGCGTTTCACAATTGGCAACCTTTCCCCCTCACGCGACATTTATAGTTAGAGACAGCGGAGATTTAGAGAGAGACGCTTGCAAACTGAGCACACCATGTTATCTACCATGGGTTCCAACATCAACAGTCACCTCTTTCAGTATATATGTTTTCTAAGATGCACGCACTATTTTTTAATACGCGGAGATCGAGATCTAGATCTTTCGAGCGTGAGCGAACACGCACATAGTTTTCGCAAAGGACTAAAAGCATTATTAAAGAAGTTTGTGAGTGAGTTTCTGTTCCCTTGACCTGTATTTCCTACATTATATTAATAGATATAGGAGACAGTTGCTGAATACTTATTACATAAGCTATTTTTTATTTTTTTATTTTCCATGTTATACTGATGTGTATGCATAAACATTGAAAATTGTAGCTTAATATTTGAGAGATTATTGTTACATGTTTAATTTTTCATCAATAACAAATAAATTTATTATGAGTCTTATTGTGACATGTTGCGAAACATAATCGATCGCCTAAATCGTATATATAGATCTTTCAAATCGTATTTACTTTAAAAATATTAAATTATGAAATTCTTCTTTAAAATTATTCTTTGAAAATATTAATTTATTAATAAAAATAATTAAAAAAATAAATTTGATAAAAGAAATTATTAACCGATATGTAATAATTAACAAATACATAATTTTAATAATTTTAATAATAAAAAAAAAAGATTAATAATTATTAAATAACAATGATGAAAAGACAAGAACATTGAATAAGTAAAATGGGGTTGAATTAATTTTTTTCAATTGATAATCAATCATTAATTTTATTAATGTCATTTACTAATTTTATTTTGCAATATTATTTAGGAAATTTGATAAGGTTTCATAAAAGGATCGAATTAATATGTAATATTGCAAATGTGTGTATGAAACAAATGTTAAAATATTTCACACAAATGTAAAATATTTCACATCTCCTTTTATAAAAAAATACAAAAATTATAACAAAATTGCATAACATACATTATTCTTATACATAAATCGATAAAAAATTAATATTAGATATGTTTGATTTTTGAATATGTTTCTAATACATAAAACACGACATATGTATAAAATTTTTGTCTGTTTTATAAGTATTACTCATTTCTTATTTTATATTTTTAATATTTTACTTAATATTACTTATATTAAATAATAATGTCGCTTATATTATAAGTAATAATATAAAATATACATAAAATGATTTAGGCGATCGATATGCAATACGCATTTGGCAACTCTCTCCTACACGTTACTTATATCTTCATAATTATGATTTCGAAATTTTAACATTATTACAATACATTCAAATTGTAATAATATAGACTATAATAAATTTATAATTAAATGAAATGTTTAATAATAGTACTCACATTCAAGTGCAGAAATTATCTTTTTAGTAAGAAGGATTAATTTAATTCATCTGTATATACAAAATTCTATAGAAATCATTAAATTAGCTGAAGATCATTTAAAATGCAGACGTTTACTGTTTAAAAATCAAAATTTAATAATAAAATGTCACCTTTCATTTTATATATATGTCGCCACAAATAAAGTTTATTAGAGGTAGTTCACAGAGCAAGTTTCTTATAAAATCCAACAAATGATCGACGAACATCTTTATAAGTTCTGTCTATAACATTCAAAAGAAAATTTACATAGAAGTAATAATACTAAATAGATTCTGTTTAGATTCTGTTTTATTAGTATATAAGAGAATTTTTTCTTAGAGTTTACCTTAAAAATATGATAGTCGTGGGATAACATTGTATTTCGAAGAATTTCTCATTCATTAATAAAACTACAATAAAATATAAAATAAGTTTTATTAACTCTTACCGTATTAAATACAATTAATCAGCATGAACTTGTTCATTCCTGTTTTATCTCCCCTTTCTCCCTAGTGAAAGCAAAAGTCTCCCGAAAATTTTCGTAAAAATCCTCGTCATAAATAATAAAAAGAAAACTTTTCACTAAAACATTAGTACACCGGAGATATTGAGCGGTATTCATAGTCGATTCTTATTTCAAGATCATCTTAAGTAATATCTTAAGACGCTAATGTAGCCCTCTGATTGGTTCGTGATTTCTTAAGACCGTACTAAGACTTAAATATAAGATCTGACTATGACTACCGGTGATTGAACCGCTGGAGCAAAAAAATGACCTACAGAACAAAAAACTGTGTGCTATTCATATCCACTGCTCGTACCTTCTCCCTTCTCCCGTAACGAAAAAATATCTCGGTCCCAATTTTTCTCGATTTTCCCATCCACCGTTTTGTCCGGTATTCATCCCTGCCGACATCCCACCCTTCTCCAGTCCACCACGTGGGTGACTATGGACAGAGTCAATCAGCGTGTGAGCAGCCATGAATCCAATTAAAACATGCCATTTAATTACCTTGTTATCCCCACCCTCGCGTCATCGACCAATTAGAGCACATCATTTTTCCAGACAGACTACGCCTTCGGAGATGGAGTGGTGGAAGTTTGTTTTGACGGTTCATGATTGCCCATATACTACTAACATACTTTTAACTTTCTAGAATAAATATTGGCACTTCATTTTGGAAAATAATAAAATGTAGTATAATTTATAATTACCAAAGACTCAAAAAAACTTGCACGAACAGGAATCGCTCGGTGACTAATAACTTCCTTTAGTGGAGTAAGAGTTAATTTTATTGAAGTACATGGTAAACATTTTTTAAATATTTGTATTGTATCAGAACTACTATCATTTTTTAAATATTGTATTGTACCAGAACTATACTATAATTTTTAAAATATTGTATTGTACCAGAATATTTTCAGGATAAATTTTAAAAGAAAATTCTCTTCGTGTATATATTATGTAAGCATGATTTATAAGATATCTGATAATTAATGATAAAACTCTCGCCTAGAGAATGAATTAAACTGAGAAGAAAAGTTTAAAATATCATTAAAATGTCGTATCTTGTTTTCTCCATTACTTTTTTATTATCTACTTAATAGTGTGTTATTGTTTTCTGTCTGGGTTATCTTCTATGGGCTGGGTTTTCCTCGTTTTAAGACGGGACTCGTTTTAGGACGGGATATATATATACGAATTAAAACAAGGACAACTCGGAAAGGTTAATCTCTTTCTATCATATTGAATCAGCAGTCTATTTATGTAAATCTGTGATCAAAATATCCGCTGGACATTGCTTGTCACAATTTCTGATTACGTTAAATATGAGCCATCTTATACTGCCTATGATGAATGTCCAAATAATAAATACCTAAAGACGTACGATCGTCCATTTTATGTTCATGGACGTGCGAATGTAAAATGAACATAAAGAAAGACACGCGTACGAGCAATATAAGTCTCATATGAGGACCACATATGTGTGGTGATATGCGCGTAAGTCATGCACGTGCTATAATATCACTATACGGGCATTTTGTTATCTGGGTAGGCAATAATACATGTAGGCAATCAATCTGTAAGCAATAACACATGTAGGCAAATGTGATTTTGTTTCTAAAATTTTTATTTATGCGCAAATGTGCTTGTAGGCAATTTGTAGTTAAATGGGATCCTCTCAACAAAATCTTCGCTACGCTTCTGTCTGTATAATACATTCTTTATTTTCTAAGAATATCTTTTGCATATTTATATAATATCACAATATAAATAATTTCCTGTGTATAATTTATTTTTGCATATATAACTTACACAAAAATCGTCGTCATCTTCCTCGCCGTCTTTCTTGCCTTTTACATGATCGAGTTTGTTGTTGTTGTTATCATTTTCTTCTATATTATTTTGTAAGTTATTTTTAGGATCTCTGTCAGACTAATTAAAGAGAAGACTAAATTAATAAAACGTAATTGACTGCTAATTTAGCTAATAATGTTTAGCTAATAATACTTTATATACAGAATTATCAAGATATTGTATATTGAATTAGTATATAAATATAATACATTTTAATATGTCCTTTGGACGTCTATTTGTCACAACTTCGGACTACATTGAATATGGGCTATCTTATATCTTACGATATATGAATATTCAAATGATGGATTCAAAATCGAATTTACGACAATGTTCATTTCATATCCATGAACGTATGGACCTAAAATGGACTATACAATGTCTTAAAATGGATTATACAATGTTTTAAAATGGATTATACAATATCTTGTGCTAATTGAGTAATAGTATAATAAAATGTTTTTGATAATATGCATAGTCAAAGGCGGGGGGAGGGGGGAGTATTTCTGACACACATACATTTTCTCATATCTCTTATTACATAATAGTGGATTTATTATTTTATAATTGCTAATTATTTACTGTTCCTATGGCTGAGCGGAGCATCTTTGATGTTTTTGTTTTATATATATATATATATATGTGTTGAATGGGCAAGAACGATTGAGCGGGTATTCTACCGTTTAAGCCATAAGTTGTTTAAATTTGTATATTCAAGATGGCCCAAAGCGGTGCCGAAATGAATATGAATAAATTTGGCATTGCTTTAAGAAAAAACAAGTACATATATACCATCGCGCACTGATTATCACCACGACATAACTTTCACTAGCACTTATTAAATTACATATTATTGTTGTAAATTAGTAAATTAAATATGTGTGACTTAATTACTGGTCAGTAATTAATTAAAAATAATACAAAAAATAAAACAAATCTAACAGTATATATCATTCGATTGTTTCCTTTCCCCGTAGATTCAAAAGTCTCAAATCTAATTTAGCCGTCCTAGCTACGCTCATGTCTATAAAATATATCTTTTGAATTCTTATTTCCATATATATAATGTTATTGCGAAAAATAATATTATTAAAGCGGTGGTTTAAAGGTTTAGGGCACATGCACGGAATGCAAGAGATCTAAATTCGATCCCCGGTCGAGATTATATTTTCCGCAATAAAATTTTTTACAGATTTTAGAGTGCTTATCAGCATCAGAATATTAAGATCAATCTAAGATGAATATGAGCATCAATATAATTAAAATGCTTGCTAATATTATTACTTTAGATATATTAGAATCTCAAGACTGAAAATAAATTCGCGCAGTTTGAGAAATCCGATATGAGTATATAAACTTACATAGAATTATTTCAGACTAAAAATCTTATTTGACTGTTTAATAACTTTAATTGCGATTTGTAGTCACATTATGATATTATAAGATATTTTGTAATATTTTTTACATATTCTTAAAATATTTCTTGTATAACATTACAATCCGAAGCGCCACTACGGTCTAAGTATTAAGATGTTGAACTAATATATATATTATTCAAACGAATGAATTAATTTCAGAAATAATAATTGCGTTAATGTAATAATCTCCCCAAAATTCCCCAAATTAATCTTAAAAAACTGTAATAAACTTCTTAATATTTCTTATATATTTATACATGATACATATAATTTTCTCTATATAATTTATTTTTATATATTTAATTTAACTAAAAATCACGAATTCTGTGATTGCTGTGATTGTTTTAGTTGTCGCCGGCGTCGTCGTCATTGCCGTCGTCGTCGTCGCCATCGTCATTGTCGCCATCGTCATTGTCATTGTCGTTGTCATCGTCGTCATCGCCATTGTCATCGTCGTCATCGCCATTGTCATCATCGTCATCTCCATTGTCATCGTCGTCATCGCCATTGTCATCGTTGTCATCTTCGTTATCGTCGTCATCATCATTTTCATCGTCATCGACATTGTAGACATGTTTGTAATCGTTTTTTTTTATATTATTCCATAAGATATTTTTAGAATTTCTGGCAGGCTATTTAAAAAAGCAGACTAATTAAAAAAAAACATATCATAGAAAATTAAATTAATAAATATTCATTAACTATAAATTTAGTTAATAATATTTAACTAATAATATTTAATACACGAAATTATTAAGATTGGTAAATAAATAATGAATTTTAATATTCTCATCGAACGTTTGTTTGTTACAACTTCGAATATATTGAATGTATTCGAATCTACATTCTATGAACGTCCTATGAACGTCCAAATAATGGATATTAAAAATCAGACTTATGATCATAAGCGCCGATTTGGGGAAATATTGGGGAGGGACACAGTAAAAAATATTGGGAGAGAGGTACATCGAGAAATATTGAGGAGGGGAGGACACAACAATATCCACTTTTTTGTGGTACTCCTGATAAAAATAAATCGCTGAAATAACTAATATCAAATTAATAGAGATTTTAAAGATTTCAACGATTTATTTTCATCAAAAGTATCGCAAAAAATAGATAATGTTGTGTAGTTGACATCCACTTCTTCAGAGGACTGTAGTGCACAAGGTACTTTGCAGGTATTTTGTTACAGGGAAAAGACTCATATCCTTTTTCTCTCTGGTACGTATATATGCAGAGATCGACATTAGGGATTCCTTCCAGGGACATTTGAATTCCCATCTGGATGCTCCCCAAGTATTCTTGTTCAAGTTATCCTTGTTATTTAACAAACAAGGATGACATATTTGATATTCGAGGAGCACTCTGATGAAATTAGAACATGCCTCAATAACCTTACTAATTGTAAGTACAACATAATAATCATCTCATCCTTGTTTAACATTGGTGAACAACAAGAATGTAATGATACACTGTGTCATATCGTGTTATCACATCGTCTCTTATTGAAAGGCACCCTAGGTGAAAAATAAAATTTATTGAGAGGGCATTACCCTCCCCCCTCTAATAAAATTATTCTCATTCTCATAGAAAGATAGAAGATATTCTCTCGTTCTAGAAGAGATTCTCTCGCTCTATCAACTCGGTCTCCTGATTATAGCCACAATTTAAGGCGTATCTATGTATACAAGATCTAGATTTTTGTTAAGGGGATGCTGGAGTGAAAATTGTCGGAACATTGCGGATCGATATAAATTTCCGAATTTACTGAATGGAATAAAAAATCCTTTTACAAGATTAAAATAGACACAATTGAAAGATGCTGCAGTGAACTATATATTAAAATTGAAAAAAAGTTTTGATGTTTCCTTAATACCAAAAGTTTTATAGCTTGTATGGACAAAATGACAGTTCAGCACCCAGCGTTTTATGTGCACAAACAATACGTATATACGAATCAACAGTTGAAAGTTGCTTTGTGAATAAGTTTACTGCTATTTCTATAATATTTCCGTCAAATTACGTAAATCTAAAGAAATATCCTGATTTCATTGGCTTAAGTTCAACGTCTTACGTTTACTATTATGGAATTTTGTCTGCGGTAGTCCTTACTGCTTACGCGTTACTGCCTTAGGTTTTTGTATGTGACATAAGGCCTGTCCTTTTCTCTTCAGAAGGAAAGAGGAAGAAAAAAGATGAATTGGTACAAAAGTTCAGCTGAAAAGAACAGGCCTATAGGCTTAATTGTATAATATTTAGCAGTAAGTACTCGATCTTGCAACAAATCTAGCGTTGCAATATATTAAATAAGGATGTATGCGTTTGAGTGAGACATAATGTAAGAAATGACTTAAAGATGTCAACTTTTTATAACTATTATCAACTTTTTAAATTTGGAATTTAAAAAATCTGTACTATCAACATCATACTATCGATCAAGTTCAGTCCAGCATCTTTTTAATATGCATAGGCATAATCAAATGGAAAAGGGGACAAAGGGCCGTGTCTTCCCTAAATCTTGAAGAAAAATAAAATAATTAGAAAAAAATTTATGGACTATGCTTAAGGCGCCTCTAGATACTATGACTAATGTAACTAACATGGGAATATATCGTACACATTAATACATACATGACATACGTAATTATTTATATTTATATAGTGATTACGACCCGCATTTCTTAATAGATTCAAGATTGCTGAATTCAAATGCGTCAGTGAAAGATGCCTATTATGTCAGATTTTTTTTAGATAAATCGAGTAATATGAACAAAAAACAGGATTTTTTGCCAAATTTATTTATTTTTTTGTGGCCAAACAAAATTTTATTTTTTAATTTCATTAGCGCCACTTTAAAGAGTGATTCTTCACCTTTAAAACGAATTTTTATTTTTTATTGTGTGATTTTTTTTTCATCAAGTTATAAATGTTTTCTGAAATGTAAAATGATGGATCCAAATTAGCGGATTGAATCTAGAAGTATATTTAGCAAACGCTTTTCTCAATACCATGAGACAAACATTTTTCTTCTATTCAATAAACGCTGTTCCAATGAGGCGAATTATTGGATCTCAGTAAACGTTTTGTAAGGCTTTTACGCAAACAGCTTAAAGATGTCCAAAAAACGTTTTTCTCAACTCCATAACACAAGCGTTTCTCTTCCGTTTAGCAAACATTCTTTTACATATCTGATTTTCAAGTAGTGCATGACATAGCCATTAGAGGGACACAAAGAAATTCAATTTCTCGCATTAAAACCATCAAATAGGATAAAAGGCGCGATATGATGAGACTTTTCAATAAAAAATTTTGTACCTTTTTTTTTAAAATGTTTGCATTCATCAGGCTCAACACTAGAACTGAACGTTCATGTAAACATGAAACAAACATTCATGAAACTTGTTATTTTCAGAGAATTCCATCCAAATGCTGCAACGTTGCAATTTCCATTTTACGAATACCTTACTGACCGTTTCTAAATTCTCAACTAATTTCTGCAAACGCTCATGTAAACGTTAAACAAACGTTTATGAAACTTCTCATTTTCGTCAGGGTACAGATTGATTGTCTACATGTATTATTCTCTGTTTCTTTTAGAAACACAAATTTTCTGTTTTGAAACAAATTCTTTGCTTTAAAACACAAATTCTCTGCTTT